TAAAGACATTATCTCATGTGATTATCCCAACTATCTTAGCAAAGAAGGGTAGAGCTTTCCAGATGAGGAAACCGAGGTACAGAGAAAGAGGCATGCTCAAAGTTGCACAGCGCATCAGCAGTGGATGAAGGCTTAAATGCAAAACGAACTGGTGTAGCGGAGGATACAGTTCTACTCTGCATATACAGGGTCGCCATGAGTCAGAATGGACTGGGCAGCGACTAACAATAACAACAAATCAACACCCAACAAATACACGCACACAAAAGGGCCAGCCTGGGTAGTGTGAATCATGCCTCAAGTTAAAGACAACTTTACAGACTACTCAGCTTATACTTCCTCAGGAAATAAATTAGACCACGCTGCAATTTTATGACAGGGAACTGTTCACAGACAACCTCCTCAATGGTCAGGAATGGGCGTGGTTTCTGCCTTGCTCTACTTGACATGCCTTCTAAATTTACCCCAAAGAATGGGGCTGAGGGTCTGGAGAAGGAGTAGGAAGCATTGTGTGGTCTGACAGTTTTAGCTGAGGCAGACTCATGACCTCACATTAGAACTGAAGGATCAGTCTTTGCTCTGGTGCTTGAGAAGAACTTTTTGTTTTGTTTTGATTTAATTCACTCCAGTCTGGCCCATGCCCCTAAGACTTCTCAGTGTGTCTGGCTCCTCTCACACCCTGGGCAGCTCTGGAGACATGTCTTTTCTAGAGCCAGGATAAAAGAGATAGGGATTGATCGAGATCAGTGGTTCGCATACTGCAGCCCCCAGGCCAATCTGGCTCGCCATCTATGTTTGTAAATGAAGTTTTATTGGAACAGAGCCACTAGTTCACATATTGTCTGTGGCTGCGTTCGCGTTACAATGGCACAGCTGAATCCTTGAAACAGAGACTGTGGCCTACAAAGACTAAAATATTTAATAGCTGGCCCTTTAGAGAAAAAGCATGCTAACCCTCATCTAGATAATAATTAGAATTCTACCCAGTGCTCTCCATGTGACAGAATTGTGATTAATGTTACACGCACCATCCCATTAAGTAGTATTATCACCTCCGTTTTATAGAAATGGGATTTGATCCCAGGTCTGTCTGACTTGGAGCCCTGCCTCAAAGATGCTCCTGACAGGAAGGAGGCACACACCTTGGTTTTGGCCTGGATGGGCGCCCCGTGGTCCAGAAGGATCTCTGAGATTCGCACATGCCCATTCCGAGCTGCACAGTGGAGAGGTGTCAATTCATCCTTTAAAAGACAGAGTCAGAAACAGAAAGCCCAAGAGGCAATTATCAGAGGCCATTTGGAGAGAAGGCTGCCTGCAGCATCATTGCCAGCCCAGTGGAAGTGGCTGTTTCCTTAAGAACCAGCACGCCTTCAGCACAGTCTTATTCTTCTCTCCCACTGCACTCTGGCAACTCCTGCAGGCTCGGGAGCCTGGTGGCACATCCCTAATGAAGTCACCGAGAGCCCCTCCTCCACCTGAGCCTCTTGAAGACAGCGCTCCTTCCCTGGCCTTCCCACCGAGCTTGCTGGCACCTACCTTGGTCCTTGCTTCTATCTCGGCCTGTCGGTACAGCAGGAGCTGCACCATGTTCACGTTGCCCCTGCGGGAAGCAATGTGCAGCGGCGTGATGCCGTTCTGCGGGGAAGATGCAGAGAGCAGTCAGAAGCCTGCACCCTTTTCTTGAATGCAGCCTCTGCACACCCCACTCCCCGTGTCCCTTCCTGCCCCCCAGGACTACAGCGGCTTTGGTACAAGCATCCACTTTAAGCCCTATGGTGAGGACATTCCTCACCTAAGAAATATTTCACAAGCTGCGGCATCTGGGATCTTAAAAGCTAGCAAGTGGCCATCTAAGATGCATCAATTGGTCCCAACCCACCTGGAGCAAAGGAGAATGAAGAACACCAAAGACACAAGGAAAGTGTTAGCCCAAGAGACAGAAAGGGCCACATAAACTACAGACTGCACCAGCCTGAGACCAGAAGAACTAGATGGTGCCCAGCTACCAGCAATGACCGCCCTGACAGGGAACACAACAGAGAGTCCCTGACGGAGCAGGAGAAAAGTGGGGTGCAGAACTCAAATTCTTGTCAAAAGACCAGACTTAATGGTTTGACTGAGACTGGAGGGACCCCAGAAGACTCCCAGACTCTCTGTTAGCCCAAAACTAAAACCATTCCTGAGGCCAACTCTTCAGACAAAGATTAGACTGGACTATGGGACATAAAATGAGACTCATGAAGAGTGTGCTTCTTAGCTCAAGTAGATACATGAGACTAAATGGGTAGCTCCTGCCCAGAGGCGAGATGAGAAGGCAGAGAGGGTCAGGAGCTGGTTGAACGGACATGGGAAATCTGGGGTGGAAAGGAGGGGTGTGCTGTCGCAGTATAGGGAGAGCAGCTAGGGTCACATAACAATGTATGTATAAATTTTTGTATGAGAGACTAACTTTAATTGTAAACTTTCACTTAAATCACAATTGAAAAAAAAGAAATATTTCACAAGCTGCAGAGACATAATAGCACAGTGGTTCATCACACCAAGTTGGTTGAGTCCAGGTCTTCCAGAGTAAATGTAACTGACTGGAAGGCCAGCTACTTGAAAACCAACACCCTCTCCAGCTTTCCCATCTCTAGAATGGACAAGTATGGTTCAGTGCTTTCTCAAGACAAAGTGGGTGAAACCTGAGGGGCAGATGGCCAGAAAGCTGTCCATAAAAAGATGGAATAGACACCAGGCTATTTTACCCACGGGCATTTTTCTAGTAATGATGAAATTTATGGTGCCAAAGTGAGAAGTAAGAGCTACTAGATTCTAGACAACCCTGGCCAGTATGTGGGAGAACCTGCCAGAGGGCATTACCTGTGGCGTGAAGTTAACGCTGGCTCCCCGGTTGAGGAGTAACTGGGCCACGTTGAGGTTCTCATAGTGAGCTGCAATGTGGAGTGGGGTAAATCCCGTCTAGGGCACAAGAGACAGTGAGCAAAAAGCTTGTCATATGTGATTTACAGTCATTTCTACCTCAGAATTAGCCCAGAGAATCTGAAAATCGGCCCAAGGGACCCTATACATAAAGCAGATTTTGACTGATGGGAACATTTGCTGAAGGGATTAACAGACACTTTGTGACAAGTTGTATTCAAAAGCTAGGTACGACCTCTGAGTGACCCCCATAATTTGCCTTATGGTTTATGTGGACAAAACATGGACTAGGATTACCTCAAACTCTGTAGGGCCCATTCACCTGAATGATGATTAATGAAGAGATTTTAATTAATTAATGAAAAGTGTTATATGGTCCATGATCTGAATTCTAGGGATTGTTGCAACTCCACAAAGGGTCTGGTGACTCAGCTGGCTGGCTAACGGCAGACCCTTGACTTCTTGTTGTGTCCATTCCCATCATTCTGTTCCATAACCTCAGATCATGCCTAACCCCAGTCAGCCATATTCCAGAGAAACCAAGTGGGGTGGGGGCAGGGAACTATGTGAATAACTCCATGCAAATCCTTTCCCATTAAAAGATATATAATTAACACTCTGAGCTTACAGATAACGGATCAGCATTTCATTGCTTCAAAACATCAGATAGGGTGTTCAGGCAACAAACTGTTCAAGCCCTGTGAGGAACCCTTTCTCCATAGGCCAGCACCTCTAGTCTCATTTCCACATGTGGGGACACCTCCCTCCACCAGGGGGTAGGCAGGTGAAGAAAGTGGCGATGAAATTAAAAAACATCACCTTCTGGGATTCCCTCTGGTCACAGACCCATCCTGTCCTCCCTGGACACTTCTCTGGATGACCCGGAGCAATAAGAACCTTTCCTGCTTCTTGCCAAGAACACTATTCCTGGAGTCCACCAGGGATTTAAGGTGGACCTGTCCATTGTGGCTCTTCTATATTCTTAATGGAAATCTGAAGGCAAGATGTGCTCAGTTTGCACAGCTGGCATCATCTATGATCTAGGCTACTACCCGCTTGAGCTTCTTAGACTATTCTTGGGAAATTGTTGGGACTGGATGGTGCTCTCTAACCCATGGGTTTCCGTGGTCCAGGCCCTAGTTTTCCTCATCCTCCAGAGAGCTGTCCTCACTTTGGAAAGCACGTCTGGGTTGGGGTCATTCTGCAGAAGCACCGCTGCCGTCCGGGTGTCATCGTTGCGAGCCGCAATGTGCAGGGCGGGGAGGCGCACCTTCCCTTTCGTTCCGTAGTTGATAAGCTGTGCCACCACGTTCTCGTGGCCCTGCTGCAGAGCCACGGCGAGGGGAGTGAAGCCGTCCTGGCCAGAAGAGAGGAAAGACAGACTTGCTCAGACAACATCTGACCACTCACTGTCCTCAAAACAGGACACACACTTTCACACCTCAGGGCTCTTGGTCAGAACAGGCCCTCAGCCTGAAATGACCCCCCTCCAACTCTCTGCTCTTAAAATTCCTCTTCAACCTTCAAGCTCAGCTTAAATGCCACCTACTCTCTGAAGCCTTGATTGACCCCACTTTCTTTCTCCGTCACCTTACAGAGCCTTCCTGTCATTTTTCTTTAGCACACATGTAATTTTTAATTGTTTGTATATTTATGTAATTATATATAATCCTTTATAATTGTTTCTAGTCCGACTGAGTGCTTTGAGGAACTTCTGTTTCTTTGCCTGCCCTCCCTCTTACCCCATCTACTGGTACCAGGGTAGTGCCTTGGACATGAAAGACTATTATTCATTATTCATTTCACAAATATTATGGACACCTACCGGATACTAGTACCATGCGAGGCATGGAGGATTCTATCGTGAGCTATTACGATCAATCTCCTCAGTTGTTTACTGAGGGATACAAGACCCCATGAACTCATGAAGCAGAATAACAGACATGAAATCACTGAGTCTTACAATTAAGAGTCAAGAGAAGCCTTAGTCATGATCGAGTCCAATTTCATTACAGCTAAAGATTAGAAACTCAAGATTAGAGCTAAAGTGACTTGTCCAACGGCGTACAATGGGTTCATGGCAAGTTCCTCTTTTGTTAAGGACCAGGACAGACTTGTCAACCACACACACATACACAAACACAAACACACTCCTGTCGAGTCTTAAGTGTTGCTGATAGTGGGAATGACAGAGTAGACCCTGATGTAATTTTCAGTAAGACGTATGACTTCATCTTATACACCTTTGCGGAGCCCTACAGCACCCAGGATTAGTGCAGTGATCTGAAGGCAGAGAGCACTCCACAAGGTGTATGCTGATCACAAAAGGATGCATCTCCAGCCATGTCCCTGGAAGCTACCGCTCAGCCCCAGTGTTGTCCAGCCAGGAGACTTTCGGTGGTCCGGCATTTTTTCCGAGGTACTCACTTCTGTGGCTATACTCTGATTAGCTCCATTTTCCAGTAAAAACTTAACCACTTCCAAGTGATTCTCTTGTGCTGCCATGTACAGGGGTGTAAAGCCTTTCTGTAAACCACAGAGAAAAAGTCATTAAAATCCATCCACAATAGTGAAAGACGCTAAAACTGACACAGAACTCTCTAAGCCTGAAGACTGCTCTCTCTTCATTCTATTTTCACTTAGCCTATGGGGCAACAACTCCACCTATATCTCCTGTTGTTAAAAACTCACTGTCACTCAGAAACAGTTTCGTAGCATTATTGCAAAAGGCCACAAGGTGGAGATGACACACCATAGTCTGTATTTCTGTCCCTCAAGCATCAGTCAGCCTCTTTCACACTCTCCCCTCCATTTTTACTTCCTTCTTTATCATCCCCTCCCCCATACACACATGCAGAATTTCTCTCCCTTAATGAGCCATAATTAAATGTATATTTGGCTTGTCTACTGAACAGGGATGAGTTCCACAATGACTCAAACTCATCATACTTACAATGTGTAGTCGAAGCATGAAAAAATAATAAAGGGTGGCTTCATCACTGCTTGGAGTCCCTGGTTGGTGCAAACGGTTAATGCGCTTGGCTGCCAACGGAAAGACTGGAGGTTCAAGTCCACCCAGAGGCGACTTGGAAGAAAGGCGTGGTGACCTACTTCCAAAAAATCAGCAATTGAAAACCCTATGGAACACAGTTCTACTCTGACACATATGGGATCACCATGAGTTGGAATCAACTCGACGGCAACTGGTTTTTGGATCACTGTTGCTTAGAAACACGCTGATGATAAATTGGGACTCAGCTACACAGTGTGTGTGTGCTAATGCTGTAGTCAGTGTGTCTACTATGTAAGTGAAAACAGGAAGTGCAAGTGAAGAAGAAAGGCAATGCCGTCCAGCTCGGGACCAGAGTGAGCCATTACCAGTGACTGGGCATTGACGTTGGCACCATAGTTGACCAGCTCCCGGACCACCTCATTCTGACCAGCGAGGGCGGCGATGTGCAGGGCCGTGTTCCCTTTCTGAAACACATCGGGGGAGAAAACAGAGGAAGTTTCCCATGGGGCCTGCATCATAAGTGACTGTCAAACTTATGTGACCAAGCGTGCCTGGTGGGCAGGAGGAAGTGGCAATAGGCTTTCTTTACGGCTAGATGCGATAGAAAACACGTGTGCCTGATCCATCACACATCTTGAAACAATCCTAAAAGCAGAAAGAGGAAAATTCTTCCCATTCGCCATGAAAAATAACCCCGAAGGGAAAAAAAAAAAAGAAACTCAACATCTAATGTGCTGCAGCAGACGTAGCCTCCTGTCCTTGGCCTGGCAAACAGTCAGCATTCCTCAGGACACACACTGTAACGTTCACCACGCAAGGTCTAGTTTCCCCTGGCCTTTTGGCTCCTCTCAACCTGTAATTCTGCAGGATAATACAGAGCCCTCAGAGAAGCCAGCAGACGCAGTGGGCTTGGCACTCTTGATGCTGTTACGGGTAACACCCATGGACCAAAAAGAGGACCAAGAGAAAATGAAAAGGGATGAGAGTGAGAAAAGTAGAAAGCAGAGAAGGAAAAGGTAAAAATGTGTAAAGAAGTTGGGGGTGTTAATAAAAAGAACTATAAAATGTTTGTAGGGAAGAGAAGAAACATGTAAAGATCTGATAAATGGGGAAAATAAGTAGAATAAAATGGAATAAAAACTGGCAAAGGAAAATACAAAGATAGAATATTTGAAATGTTAATAAGTACAATGTCTGATGAAGTTTTTGCCAAATAAGAGAGGGACTAGGAGAAAATGAGGCAGGTCATTAAGAGTTTCAAAGAAAACTTTTGAAGAGACAAGAAGCAATAACAGAGACCAAGAAACCAGGCAGGTTCTAAGAAAGTGAGCGCATTGTTCAGGGTTTTTCACCTAGATTCATCCTAGATACTTAACAACACTTCATAGACAGGGTGCTAGACTAGCAGCCTTCGTCTGTTTCCAGGATAACAACATCCCTGGCTGCCCAGCCCTCCTGCCAGTCCTCCCTGCCTCCTGCCATGTCCTGGGGCTGGAACACCAGTACTTTCTCCAAGGGTGGACTGACCAATGGGGCCTTTGACCAATGGCGCCCCTTACCGACGGGGCCCCTGCACTGCCACCCTGTGCAGGGAGAGTTGGGCAAGACTGGATCTGCTTGACAACTTCCATCAAACAAGACAAGTTGGAGAAAATGGAACCATAACTGTATCCATCTGTCTATTCTACTTAAGGAGCAAAGAGTTCAAGCAACTTAATTTTAGCCAATGTATAGTTTTTAATTAAGCTACAGAAACACTATCTATGCCAGGAAACTTAAGACCAGATAAGCAGGAACTTGAAAATCAGTCCACACACTGTGGCCATCTGTCAACCAGTTGACCCCATGGGTGTCAGAGTAGAACTGCGCTCCACAGGGTTTTCAACGGCTGTGACGTGGAAGAAAAGCTGCCTCACTGAGGAAGAAATGGGCAGCACAAAGGACCAAGCTCTGTGGCCACCGGCCACTGCCACTCCAGCATCCACAGGTGGATGAGGCAGCCTTACCAAAACTGAGTGCCTGGAAGGGATCTCGTGTCTTTGTTTCTTGTTCTTTAGTAATTTGAGTTATTGAAAGCATCACCTGGACCAGGTAGGAGTTTCCTGTTGGTGGATTCCTGAAGTTGTCTTTTTGATTTGTCCTTAAGTCCCACTTAAAAAACAGAAGGGTTCTTCCTCAAATATCGGTCAGAGAATAAATGCCAGAGATGAAAGTACAGGTGCTAATTAATAATTTTTCACAGAAGTCCAAAGAGCCTACATTTAGAGGTTTTGGCACTCAGGTCCGACTCACTCATTGTACCAAGTGGAACAGGGCTGTTGGCACCATAACCTTCTCTCGAAATCAGGACTCAGAACTCCCAGTGGAGTTCTCCTGTCTCCCCATTTAGCTGAAGGCATGCAGTGTCCAGAGCTCTGATGGCACAGTGGTTAAACGTTTGGCTGCTAACCAAAAGGTCGGCAGTTCGAATCCACCAGCCGCTCCTTGGAAACCCTATGGGGCAGTTCTTCTCTGTCCTATAGGGTCAATATGAGTCGGAATTAACTGGACAGCAATGGGGTTTTTGTTATGCTGTGTCCATTCATTCCTTCGTCAAACACTTACTGAGCAGGTGTGTGTCCGGCACCGGGCTAGGCACTGGAGACAGAGGTGATTAAGACCCGGGCTCCCTGCCCTCAAGAAGCTCATATCGAATGTTTCTTTTCATCTGGCCCTTCCTGTCTGAAATCAAACATATCAGAGTTTCCCTCTTGCCTTTGAGGGGAAGAAGGTTCCCCCATTTTCGGGAAGCTGGTCAGATGTGGAACCCTGGTTGTGGATCTTGGTTCATACCACCATCTGCATCTGGACTGAAGGCAGCACTGGTGAGGAAATAAGATCAAAAGGAAGACCCTGGAAAATGGACCTACTCCCTCCACACGCACACACTGCAAGGGGCAAGGGCAAGCCCCTTGGCCCTGGAGGAGGCGTGGTGAGCACCCTCGTCTGCTCTGCCTCTCCCTCAGCACGAAGGAAAACGTCCTCAAAGGAGTAGGAAAAATTACTTAACTATCTGTTAATTCACAAAACCCAATATCTCTATTTTCAGGGAGTCACAGAGCTCACGGAAGGGAAGACGGTTGAAGTAGGGGCTGAGGGAACCCAAACAGAGGATGAGTGAGAGAGCTGGAGAGACAGAGAATGCTTTTCTCCAAGGGAAATGAAAGCCCTCCCCATGCCAGCCTGTATTAACAGCTTTGGTGTGGAGCTCTGGCCTCTGAAGGGAGGAGACAGGAGGACGGGGGAGAGAATGCATTCATTTTGTGCTTTTACAATTTCTAAGCACATTTTAGGAACATGTATTTTGGGTTTTTTTCCTTTTTTAAAAAAAAAATCTTTCTCATGCTTGGGAAACCCATTACAATTCCCCAGTCTGTTATGACTATTCCCTGGCCCACGGTTTCCGTTTCTCCTTTTTTTTTTTTTCTTTCTCTCTCTCCTTCTGTATGGTATCCTGAAACCACACTGGCTTATAAAATTCCTATAAATAAAAAGGATACACCGAGTGTTCACTTGCAAAATAACAATCAAAGGGGGAAATTCAGAAAGCGTAAAAGTGTTGAAGCATAATGTTTGTGCGGCTCTTGGGGGAACGCCAGGGAGAGAGAAGCTCTCTGGCGCACACCAAGCTCGTCAGATGGCACACTGCTTGCAGCCAGGTATAAGAAAGCATCCAAAGAAGAAATAATTGCATCCTTGTCAGAAGGAGCAGGGTGGAAGCAATTGGTATTTGCCACGGGTGGGGAGGAAGAAAAAGCCCATTTACACACGGAAAGAGCAAAGAGTTTATTTTACCAATAAGTGCAGACAGATCTTTTCATGTTCAGGAAATGACATGAAAATTACAGAATTTTACCTCAAGAGATGATTCTACCTTCATAATATTGTGGTAGTTCACTTCATAACCATAAATTATATCTGTTCTCTACATATTGCTCTTCTGTGTTCTCTGCTCAAGAGGTGGCAAACGGTTTGCTGTGTGGAAATGCAATTGAGGCTGTGAGTGTGAGACCATATTTAATAAATAACAAATGAAAAATGAGAAGCTGGGGGAAAAAACTAAGAAGAAAATCATAGGAAAGTAACACGTGAAGAGAAGAGAAAACAAGAATTGAGGAAACAGTATTCGAGTTAGTACATGAGGTGGGTTTTTTTTGTTTAGTTTGGTTTTGAAATCCTGGCTGCATCTTGTTTAATAAACAAATAAAATGCACACATGTAAGTAATAAACATTTTTCAATCCGTGGGTGAGCATCAATTTCACGACTCTACAGTTTCTGAACGTAAGCTACTGGTGTTTATAATCTACTGATATGGGGAGAATTCTATTGCTGTGAGAGGTGTGATGTTAGCGTGTGCCAGATGCCTCCTAGAAAGAGAGAATGCTATTCAAGGTAATTGGTAAGGAAAGGCAATAAGTTTGGGGTTGAACAGGGAAAGACTTGCTGGAAAAGGAGAAATTCAAGGAACCGGACTTAGGTTAAGGAGCTCTGGTAAACAGTGGTTTAGTGCTCGGCTGCTAACCAAAAGGTCAGCAGTTCGAACCCACCAGCCAATCTGAGAAAGATGTGATAGTCTGATTCTGTAAAGATTACAGCCTTGGAAAGCCTATGGGGCAGTTCTACTCTGTCCTATAGAGTTGCTATGAGTCAGAATCAACTCCATGGCAATGGGTTTGTGTTATGGATTGAATTATGTCTCCCCAAAATATGTTTGTAAATCCTAACCTTTATGCCTGTGGTTATAATCCCATTTGAGAATGGACTGTCTTTCTTATGTTAATGAGGCAGGATTAGTGTAGGGTATATCCTGAGTCAATCTCTTCTGAGATATAAAAATAGATTAAACAAGCAAGCAGCAGAGATGGGGGAAGACTGATGCCAAGCCACACAGACATCTCCAAGGAACCAGAAGGCTGAAGAGACAAAGACCTTTCTCCAGAGCCAACAGAGAGAGAGACAGCATTCCCCTTGAGCCAGCGCTCTGAATTCAGGCTTCTAGACTCCTGAACTGTTAGAAAAGAATTTTTTGTTTGTTAAAGCCATCCACTTGTGGTATTTCTGTTATAGCAGCACTAGATAACTAAGACAGAATTTGGTACCAGAAGAGTGGGGTGCTGCTCTAAAAGGTACCAAAAATGTGGAGGTAGTTTTTGAACTAGGTAGTGGGTAGAAGCTGGAAGAGTTTTAAGGTGTCCAATAGTAAATGCCTGTATTGTCTTAAAGAGACTGCTGGTAGAATCATGGACATCAAGGGCAATTCTGGTGAGGGCTCAGAAGGAAGTGAGGAGAGCTATAGAGAAAGTCTCTATTGTCTTAGAGAATACATATGGTGCCAGCAACAGAATGTTGCTAGAAATGTGGACATTAAACGTGCTTCTGGTGAGACATTAAAAGAAAATAATGAACATGTGATTGAACAATGGAGGAAGGGCAATGCTTTTTATGCAGTGGCAAAGAACTTGCCTGAATTATGTTCAAATGTTTGGTGGAAGGTAGAACTTGTAAGTGACGAACTTGGATATTTGACTGAGGAGATTGTCTAAGAAAGACCTTAAAGGGGCCATGGTTTGTCCTTGCCACTTATAGTACAATGTTAGAGGAAAGAGATGGATTTAAAAATGAACTGTGCAAAATGAAGATAGAACTTAAAGGTTTGGAAAATTCTGTTGTACAAACTAAGGACACATGTCTTAGAATGCTCACCAAGGATATGGCTACACAATCTTTTGTGAAAGAGATTAAGCCTATGACTGATGGATCTAACCAACCACCACAGCAGAAAACCCGTTAGCTTAGACTGAAGGGGACAGAGAAAGAACGAAAGGAATGCACGCAGTCTGCCTCTTGGAATTCCACAGACAGGAAACAAGCCAGAGGTTGTACATCTGCTGTACTCCAAGAAAAAAAAAAGGACCATCCCTAGAGCAGCTCGGAGATCAGCAGAACTGTAGGAACGAGCATGGGAAGCAGGGCCTTCTCAGTTTCAATGGGTGGGGCCACAGTTTCCTGAATCTCAAAGGGTGGGGCCACAGCTTCCTAGGTTTCAAAGAGTCAGATCTTTGCCAGCTCAGTTCTGGGGTTGCCGTTAAGGTGTGCTAGGGGTATGGGGCCACCTCCCAAAGCTGAGGGGGCAGGGCTGCCCCCAAGGGGCAGAAGAACAAGGGCTGCTGGGGCTGAGGGGGTGAGGTCACCACTCAGATGGACTAGGAGAACGGGGCTGTCAAAAGCCAAGGGAGCAGAGGTGCCATCCCAGAGGGCCTGGAAAGCAGAGCTGAAGCCCAGGGCCAAGTTGTTTCCACTCAGAATCCAGAAGGGGTGGCCAACAGGCAGAGTCTAGAGGGCAGAGCCATTGCCCAGATGGTCTCAGAGAAGAGAGGATTATTTTCAAGCCTTGAAAGGTAATGTAATGTGTTCTGCTGCATTTTGGACTTGCTTGTTGCCCGTTATTTTTTTTTTCCTCCAATTTCTGCCATCTGTAATGGAAATGTCTACCTTGTGCCAGTTCTACCATTGCACTTTGGAAGCACATAACTTGCATTGCAGATTTCACAGATTCACAGATGAAAAGGAATTTTGCCCCAGGATGGACTACGCCTAAAGTCTCACCCATATTTGATTCAGATGCTTCAGAAGATGAGATTTTGGACTTGGAGTTGACTGAAGATTTTTGAGATGATGTGATGGGGTGAATGTGTTTTGCATGTGGTAAAGATATGAATTTTGGGGGGCCAAAGGGTGGAATGTTATGGATTAGATTATGTACCCCAAAATATGTGTTGAAAATCCTAACCTCTATGCCTGTGGTTATAATGTTATTTGGAAATGGGTTGCCTTTGTTATGTTCATAAGGCAGGATTAGCGTAGGGTGTATCTTGAGTTGATCTCTTTTGAGATATAAAAAGAGATTAAACAAGCGAGCAGCAGAGATGGGGGAAGACTGATGCCAAGCCACATGAAGATCTCCAAGGAACCAGGGAGCAGAAGCTGAAGAGACAAGGACTTTCCTCCAGAGCTGACAGACAGAGAAAGCCTTCCCCTCAAGCCGGCGCTCTGAATTCGGACTTTTAGCTTCCTAAACTGTGAGAAAATAAATTTCAGTTTATTAAAACCGTCCACTTATGGTATTTCTGTTACAGCAGCACTAGATAACTAAGACAGTTTTGTTGTGGACTTAGGTTAATGATGAAGCATCTAGATTTTCTTTTATGACCCTTGATAACAACATAGTCACCAATATTTATTGAGTCCTTTCTATATGCCAGGCACTTTATGTACATTATCTTGTTTAATTTTGATATCAATCCTGTAAATAATATTATGATCCCAATTTTACAGATGAAGAAACTGAGGCTTCACCTTGGTTGAATAATATCCCAGACTTTCTTAGAGTATGAAGCATCTCAGCTGGGATTTGAACCCAAGGCACCTGACTTTCAGTGCCCTTAGTCCCCTGTATTACAGCCAAGGACCCTGAGAAAGCATGGAGTCACCAGAATAGGGCTTACATGTTTAGATTTACGACCTAGTGATGAGAATAAAGTCAAGGCCCAGCGAACCTGGATGGAACAGGATCCTGTGTTTTCAGGTGACTTCAGGGACTCACAGAACTAGAAGGTGATTGGAAGGATAAGAAAAATTCAGAAACATGCTTTGGTTTGTTCTCATGAAGGGCTGGTTTCTATACCAGGGTTTGCAACAATACTTGAGGGACCCACAAACTTGAATTTTCAATAAACAGCTCCCCCTTTCTCTATGAGACTTACCTTGGTTTTCATTTCTAAACTGATTTTTTTGTGCAGAAGCTCAGCCACCATTTTCACATGGCCTTCTCTCGAGGCCAGATGCAGGCCGTTCAGTCCATTCTGTAAAGAGCAGAGAGTCAGGAAGTGTGTGGTTAGTCGGACTCTGCTTTCTGCTGTCCCAAGTGGCTGAGAATGAGGTGATGAGATGTGTGAAGGGCTGGAAGGGAAGAGCTGAGAGGGTTCTGAGTGGTATCAGAATGAGCATAGATCAGAGCCATCCCAGCCTCTCATAGCACCTCTCCTGTAGGAGCAGCAGACAGCAGGAGAGCAGGAGAAGAAAAACTCATTGCCGTCGAGTTGATTCCGACCCAATCGTGACCTTATAGGACAGAGTAGAACTGCTCCCTGAGGGTTTCCAAAGCTGTAATCTTTATGGAAGCAGACTGCCACATCTTTCTCCCGAGGAGCAAGGAGCAACTGGCGAATTCCAGCAGCCAATCTTTTGGTTAGTGACTGAACGATTAACCACTGTGCCACCAGGGCTCCTTAGGGAAAAAAAAGGGAGAGTGATGACAATAACCATCACACTCCTTGGATATGGATGAAGTGTGGGTAGCTCTCATAAAACCAGGGGGTGACTTTGAAATTGTGATCTTGGCTTGGCATTAGGCATTCCACTTAATTGAAATGGTATTGCTTCAACCATCTAGTTAATTTTTATAGTAGTGACCAGGAAAAGCAAAGAGGCAACATCAGTGTATCCTAAACATTTGTAGAGATAGACATATATTTAGTAAAAGGATGAATCTGAGATAAGGTCATATGTGAACTAAATAAGGGCTTATTTCCAACCACCCAGCTATAAGATTTCCTCTATAGAAGAATCAGTATTAAAATGGCCTTCTTGCCATCCCACCATTTTCAAATGTGACCAAAGCCTGCTTGACAGCCAAGTTTTAGGAAAGGGGGAGGGGGACAGACAGGGAAACCACATTATTTATGCCCAATCATCAGCCCACAAAAGCAGAACTCCCACTAACCAATTACAATTGCAAACGTATTTGGTGAAGCTACTTCTGGGCTCTAGAAATCAGCCCAGCACAAGTTTTATTGATCCCTCTCATGCTTCCTGGTCTTCTGATCCTTGCACTTAGATGTCTTGAAACTTTCTGGCAAAAGTTGTCTTCAAAGAGTGCTACTTAGAGCCACAAATAATTCTGACAACATGCTGGAACTAAAATTCAGTTCCAGTGGATGAGTAGATCTTGGATCCATATAGAAAATGATTTTAGTCTGTGAGCAATCTCTATCTCCTTTTTTTTTTCCCCAAAGAATTTATTTATTTTTATTTATTTAAAAAACTTTTTTAATTGTACTTCAGATGAAGGTTTACAGAACAAATAGTTTCTCATTAAACTGTCAGTACACATATTGTTTTATGACATTGGTTAACAACCCCACAACATGTCAACACTCTCCCTTCTCGACCTTGGAAGACCTCTTTTTTTGGTGAAAATATACACAGCCAAAGATACACCATTTCAAAAATTTCTATATGTACAATTCAGTGACACTGATTACATTCTTCCAGTTGTGCTGCTATTCTCACTATCCTTTTCCAAATTATTCCATCACCATTATCTTCAACTCACTGTCCCCTAGGCTTCCTATCAAACCTTTTTTGAGTTGCTGTTGTCATTTTGATCTCACATAGATAGTTCTTTTTTTTTTATTTTTGTACTTTAGATGAAGGTTTACAGAACAAATAGTTTCTCATTAAACAGTACACATATTGCCCTATGACAATGGTTAACAATGCCACGACATGTCGACACTGTTATTTCTCAAACTTGGGTTCCCTATCACCAGCTTTCCTGTCCCCTCCTGCCTTCTAGTCCTTGTCCCTGGACTGCTGTGCCTCATTAGTCCCTTTTGGTTTTATGGGGCTGTCCAATCCCCGGCTGAACGGTGAACCTCAGGAGTGACTTCACCACTGAGCTAAAAGGGTGTTTGGGGGCCATACTCTTGGGGTATCTCCAGTCTCTGTTGGGCCAGTAAATCTGGTCTTTTTTTTTGTGAGTTAGAATTTTGTTTTACATCCTTCTCCAGCTCTGTCCAGGACCCTCTGTTGTGATCCTGGTCAGAGCATTCAGTGGTGGTAGCCAGGCACCATCTGGCTGTACTGGACTCAGTCTGGTGGAGGCCGTGGTAGCTGTGGTCCATTAGTCCTTTGGACTAATCTTTTTCTTGTATCCTGCTCTCTTCATTCTCCCTTGCTCCCAAAGGGGTGAGACCAGTGGAGTATCTTAGATGGCTGCTCACAGGCTTTTAAGACCCCAGATGCTACTCACAAGGTATAATATAGAAAATTGTCTTTATAAACTGTGTTATGTCAATTGAGCTAGATGTTCCCCGAGACCATGGTACCCAAGCCATCCGACCAGCAGTTCAGTCCCTCAGGGAGTTTCGATGTGTCTATGGAGCTTCCATGACCTTTCCTTGTACAAGTTGTGCTGGCTTCCCCGGTATTGTATACTGTCTTACCCTTCACCAAAGTTACCACTTATCTTTGTTTATTGAGTACCCTCCCACCCCTCCCATCCCTTGTAACCAACAAAGATTGTTTCTTTTTGTGTGTAAACTTTTTCATGAGTTTTTACAGTAGAGGTCTCATACAATATTTGCCCTTTTGTGATTGACTTATTTCACTCAGTATAATGTCTTCCAGTTTCATCCATGTTATGAGATCATTCACAGATTCATCACTGTTCTTTATCGTTGCATAATACTCCATTGTGTGTATGTACCATAGTTTGTTTATCCATTCTTCTGTTGATGGGCATCTAGGTTGTTTCCATCGTTTTGCTATTGTGAACAAGGCTGCAATGAACATGAGTGTGCATATGTCTATTCGTGTGAAGGCTCTTATTTCTCCAGGATATATTCCTAGGAGAGTGATTGCTAGATCGTATGGTATTTCTATTTCTAACTTTCTAAGGAAGTGCCGTATCATTTTCCAAAATGGTTGTATCATTTTGCATTCCCACCAGCAGTGCATAAGAGTTCCGATCTCCCCGCAGCCCCTCCAACATTTGTTATTTCCAGTGTTTTTGATTTGTGCCAGTAATGCCAGGGTGAGATGGTATCTCATTGTGGTTTTAATTTGCATTTCTCTAATGGCTAGTGATTGTGAGCATTTCTTCATGTGTCTGTTGGCCGCTTGAATGTCTTCCTTGGTGAAGTGTCTATTCATTTCCTTTGCCCATTTTTTAATTGGATTATTTGTCTTTTTGTTGTAGAGATGTTGGATTTTCTTGTAGATTTTAGAGATTAGATCTTTGTCTGACTTGTAATGTCCAAAATTTTCTTCCCAGTCTGTAGGTTGTCTTACTCTTTTGGTGAAGTCTTTTGATGAGCATCCAAGTGGTTAATTTTGAGAAGATCCCAGTTATCTAGCTTATCTTCTGGAGTTTGTGTGTTGTTGGTTATGGTTGGCATCCTGTCAATGCCATGTATTAGGACCTCTAGCGTTGATTTTATTTTTTCTTCTATCAACTTCATGGTTTTTGGCTTTATATTTAGGTGTTTGATCCATTTTGAATTAGTTTTTGTATACAGTGTGAGATATGGGCCCTGTTTCATTCTTTTGCAGATGGACATCCAGTTTTGCCAGCACCATTTGTTAAAAAGACTGCCTATTCCCCATTTGATGGACTTTGGGCCCTTGTCAAAGATCAGGTGACCGTTGGTGGCTGGATTTACATCTGGGTTCTCAATTCTGTTCCACTGGTCAATGCATCTGTCGTTGTACCAGTACCAGGCTATTTTGACTACCGTAGCTGTATACCAGGTTCTGAGGTCAGATAGTGCATTGCGAGTCCTCCTACTTTATTCTTCTTCTTCAATAGTGCTTTACTTATCCGGGGCTTCTTCTCTTTCCATATAAAGTTAATGATTAGTTTTTCCAACTCTTTAAAGAATATTGTTGGCATTTGGATTGGGATTGCATTGTATTTGCAAATTGCTTTGGGTAGAATTGTCATTTTCACAATGTTCAGTCTACCTATCCATGAACATGGAATTTTTTCCCATTTATGTAGATCCCTTTGGGTTTCTTGCAGTAGCGTTTTGCAGTTTTCTTTGTATAGGTCTTTTACATCCCTGGTTAGATTTATTCCTAAGCATTTTATTTTTTAGGGGCTATTATAAATGGGATTGTTTTCCTGATTTCCTTTTCATCATTCTCTTTACCGGTGTACAGGAATCCAACCGATTGTTGTATGTTTATCTTGTATCCTGCTAGTGTGCTAAATCTTTCTATTAGTTCCAGTAGTTTTCTCATGGGTATCTCTTGCTTTTTTGTTTTGTTCTTCCCCCACTCCCTCCCCCAACAACAACAGTTCTTGCCCTTCTCCCACTCCTCCTTCCCACTTCCTGTTTCGGACAACTCTGTTCTAGTGCATTCCTTTCCAGGGGCTGTCCCAGAGCCACTGCAGGTTCCAATTATTAAAAAAAAAAAAAAAAAGATACTCCCCACCAAGATGGAGGGGCTTGGCTCCTGATGTCATGATCTGAGGGGTTCCTGACTCAGATCCCCACAGTCCCAACACAGCCAACCATGGGTTCCAGAAATTCCCACTCTGCCTTTGGGTCGGGACATCATTGGCAGGAGATTCTTGTAAGCACAAATATTCTACCTGGGGGTGGTGATACATTAACCCATTGACAGATTAGTCACATTACTTTGGTATGACCAGCAGTGGAAAGTGGTCTGAGGTAACAAGACACAAGACAGGTATGTTATGGTGCGAGAATGGAAGGTGCAAAAAACCCTCTTAAAGTGGGCCTTGGAAGTCAGAAAAAAGAGCGAGTGGGCTCCCAAGGGAACTCGACCTACTTCCCATATGGATCAGGTTAGCCCTGTACCCCTAAACATCCAGTGAGTGCAGCTGGCCAAATCTTTACACATCAGCACAGCCAGCCCTCCCTGGGTGCGGGGAACTGGGGTGAGAGGTGGGGGGGGTGGATGGTGGTGACAGGAGGGCCCCCCCAAAATGCCTGAAAATTGCCATTAGAAACATTCTTCTTGCAGATTTTGCACACCATTAAATGCAGGTTCC